ACCTGGACCATTCCATGGTGTCTTTCGTGCATCAGCGTGGCAGTCCCTCATTTCAGTATCAGCTTCTTGGGGTCTTACATCTACTATGCTTATGTCATCTGACTAGACTACTTTTTAAATCAGTCAGCATCAAGATCGCCGCATCCACCGAATCATCGCATTCTCATGCTTATAAGCTATGCAGGTACCAACAGAACAACACAGAAACCCTATTTAGTAAATAACCCTCACTAACACCGAGTCAGTTAAGAACCAACCCGATCACTGATTTCTCTGACGGAAGGGTACGAGTATCTCACAACTGTACACTTTCGCTCGTTTCAAGTGCCACTGTGTAATTTTTTTATGCAAAACAACCTAACGGATAAAAGGGCTGATGCGTCTCGAGTTGTGAGTTCATAATAGGAGCTACTACCATACTGTGGTAACAGCCCGTCTAATGTAAAACTGATTGCATGGAGGAGGAACACTGGATTGAACTTATTTGTCGACAGAATTAACAGAAAATTACCACTGTGCTTGCACGTAAATCTAAAACCATGAATCTGCAAAACTGCAAAAAAATCTGCTCATCACTGCATCACTCCCTTAAAGGGTGCAAAGTACTACTGGGGTTGCATGAAGTACCATGAAAGAGAAAAGAACTGTTCGCTCTACAGTATAACGCATACAATGTAACGATGCAAAGGACTCGTCTCAATAACATCGTCGGAGAACCGTTATTCGCAAAGAAGTGAAAAATTGACATAAAATGTTCACCTGCTCCACGAATGGAGTAAAGTTGCAGTGGCAGTAACGGTCCAGCTTATCAGTGTAAAATTATCAGTAATGCTAAATGCATTTTATTAAAATGAGTTGAATAATTTTAAACATGTACAGCACACAGCGAGGAGAAGGCATGATACAAATAAACACAAGCTAATAGAGGTTCAAAGATCCTTTATAATATCAAATGCTTTGTGGTTCTATCTAATGCAAATTTCAAAGCAAATAACATGACATCACGGAATGTTAGAATTATTCTTCCATATTGCACACAAACCACCCGCAGCTGATAAAACTTTACCAAAGTTCATTTTCGTATGGCAGTAGCAAAATGCAGTTCATATATCTTAAAAGTCTAGCCTCTACTTAAGAGTTTCGACATTCTTTGGCTCCTTCATTATATCTTTTTCTTTCTCATCATAGAACAATGCTTCTTCGTCTAGCAAGCGTTTTTCACCTTTTCCTTTTTTATGCTTCAGGCGTCTTTCAACATTACCTTTACTCATATTCTAAAAATTTTAAAGCAGATCAGAAATACGAATAAGATAATTACAATTAAAAATAATTACCTCAATGCAGAGAACAATAAATGAGTTACTGCAGGGAAAAGCTTCTTGACTAAGGAGAGTATATCTCTCGAGCGGCGACGCCATGCCTACCTTCTTGTTACTCTCAGAACGCCAGGCATCACAATACTTTCCAATATTACGAGTACCCATCATATCCGAGCCATGCCACACGTACTTCGTTGGCCTGAAACGCCATGATATGACACCGTCGGACGGCGCGTTAACTAACCAGATATTGTCGCGCAGAACATCTCTCCTGCTGAACGAATATATCGGAGCTTTGGTCCGGAAATGGGCTCCATCACCGCGAAACAAACTTTCCCATGAATCGAAGATCACGTCGCCCTTCAAACGTCCGATTACAACGTTTACAATATAACTCAGAAGCAAAATGTACCCGCAGGTTGACTACCACCGACAATCGATCGCTATAGTGAACAATTTTGTCCAGATCCTGCACCTGGGAACTGATGAACGCTCTGAACGTGGTAGTAAAACCGGCGGCTCGGGCTTGGTGGTAACAAGCCACGTCTGCCCCTCGAACGCCGTGCAGGTTGCCAGTGAACGGAGAGTTCAGCGCAACGAGATGCAACTTAAACAACAGCACAGAAGCGTCAATAAGATGCGTAGCAGGGACGAGTAAAACGAGTCATGTCCCTTACCACTTCCTTCCGGCTAATCTTCTGATCGATCTCGTGCCGCAAAATTTCTCTGGGCGTAGCAGTTGATTCCTGAAACAAGTAAGTCACCGAAAACCAAAGTTTGCTCTACATTCAGGCATGCGCTGCAGAAACGTGTACAGTAAATGTTAGTTAAGCCATGACAGTGAATTAGCGATAGGGCAAGTTCCTAGAGAGGCTCGCATTCATCATCACATTTCAGTCTAATGGTTAAGCTACTGCCTTTACCAGCAACTCGTTGTCAACATCGTTTCACAGAGCTATCCTCCATGAAACAGTGTTCGAAACAGTATTTGCATTCGAAACTTTCAAGAATTACAATGCCGCGCAGAATTTACCTGGGCCTGCTAACTGCAAGCAATGTCCTTGCGTCAGTTCAGTCATAAGATTCTAAATGGCATATATGAATACCGCTGCGTTCCCTATTCACTTGTACTGAGACTCGTATATCCATGTAATAAAATTAGTTATCCCATGCATAGAGCTAATCATCAAAAAGAAGGGAGACCATAAAATGCCCATTTAATCCGAGTTTACGTTTACCCGTCAGTAGCACAAGCAGAAAAAATCTATGAAAACTCATGTGATTCGAAAGTCATAATATTACAGTTCTACTTAGTGGGATGTTCAGAAAAAGAACATATTTTTTCTGCGAAATTGCCACAGCGTGGATACATGTGCAAAAACTTTTTTGCTTGCGTTCCAAAATAAATTGTCACCCTCGCCCTTACGCATGAAACGGACAAACTACTTTTTATGGCATTACAAAAGGCTACAGATACGTCGATTGCAGCCTTGTAGGGGTAGAGCTGCCTCTGAGAAAAGGTTGTGAGATCGTTAACAAACATCTGTTGCATTGGCTGCTCGCGAAATATCTTTCATTTAGTGCTGACAGTACCTGCATTACACATTTCGCCAGACGGTTTTTTAAACAGAAAAAGTGCTCAATGATATATCGGCTGTTATTTTCTACTTCCAATGACTTTCCTGAGCATCGTTAACTAAATTTAGTGCGCAAGCCATTCTTGGCCTCTTTCAAATGATTTACTCACATTTTCCGTTTAGTTCGCAGTTCACTCTTGCCACAATACTGAGGTGCTGTTTCATTTCAATATCTACCTTCATTTTCATGTGGGCGGATCATGCTACATCAGTTTATCTCCTTCCGTGCAAGAAAAATGCTGCATAGCTTTGCAGATACTTCTGTTATGGGTAACGAAATAAGCACAAACCACTGTAACTGCCGACAAAGTGTACTGCTTATGATGCACATCAAGGCAGTAGTTGAAAAGACTGTTAGTCTTGGAAACATGTAAGATCCTGCGCTCGCTTAAATAATTCGCTACATATCTACAGTTTTAATGTATATGCTGTACTCTGACAAGACACAAATAGCATCTTCGCTGAACAACTGGGAGGTATGCTGACAGAGTATAATACCGCTTGAACTTCAAATGACTTGATATGACCACACACTCGTCAGACTTTCGCATCTTTGCAACAACTGTCCATTTACACTAAGGAATCAGTCCGGTTTCAGTAGCTACCAGAACCGAGGAAACCGCGCTTATATCTCAACAATGATCAACTGAACTGTCAATTCTGTCGTTGGTCATTCAGAAATGTTCATAATCAAAACAAACAGTGCAAACGATAATACCGTCTCAAGCTTCATCTTCCGTTTCGATCTAGAGCGCATGATACCAGCATGAATTTCGGGAACTGCTTCCATGAAATGAGAGACATGAATGATCGTATAATGAAACAAGGCTTCCTCAGATACGTTCTGGCCTACTTTTCGTTCGCCAATAACTTTGGCATGAACTTATCAGATTTCATGTTTACTTGTCAGTCACTGAATGGATTTCACTATCAAAAAGAACTCGGCTCTTAACTAAGAAAATAAGTCAATATTAAAGAAAAATCATGAAAAATTTATGACAAAAATCCTTGTTATACGGGCTTGCTTTCTGAAAAAATTCATCTGGTGACAAGGGGAATGATCTAGCAGAGACAAGATAAACGCAGTACTCAGGACTAAAACAAATAGTCTATTTGAAGGAAATAAAAAAACGGACTTTCAGTTGGTCAAAATCTGAATCAATAAAAAATCGTTGAAATCTGGCAGCCAGAAGTGTACTGAGTGATTGTGACTGTGATCTAATATAAATTCTAATGATAAATTTTAAGCATTCAGAGAGACTGAAATCTATACAATTATTAAGAAAATACAGGTAACATAAGACCAGTTTATCCTCTGTGACAATTATCGACTTCTGCCAAGCCTTTCTCTCTTTTGCGATGCGAAGAAACTCTTTTCATCAGACAAACTCATATAACGATAAAGAGAGATACACCGAGTATTTAAACCCAAGGTGCATTAGTCCCAAAGGAAGCTGTTAAAGACCAAAATAATGGATCTTCTGTTAGGAATTACGAACCGAGGCGGAGGATATTCTTGTAGACCAATATCATAACTTAGAAGTGACACCTGCCGCGAGACTTTTAACGTGGAGAACGTCTCCTTCAGATATGCTGCATGAGTGGACCATGCCGAATAAATAATAAAAATCGCGCCATTTCTTACAAGAAAAGCAAGGCACGATAAAATGGGTGGGCCATCTTGAACACAAGCATTGCTATTCTATCCACGGAAGAAACTGTTAATCCGGTGAAACACAAAGCATCATGCGCCAACACGACAACGTGCAGAAGGAGACAGGGCGTGGCGACGTGATACGGTACAACAGTGGGCCCATAGCGACCGAGTCGTCGAAATTACAAAGCAGACTAACACTGGATAGCACTCGTCACGTGTACGTTACTTACTACTTCGAAGGACTGATCCGCGTACTAAAATCAGAAACATTATCTGGCGTCTAAAAGCTAGTATGCCAAAGAAAAAAAATAACATGCACGCTTGGCATGCAAGAGCAGGAAAGCGAGTAAAATCAAGTTCACCTTAAAGAATATCATGTCAGAGCATACAGACTAACTTCAAGCGATTCGAATCAAAATCGACGTACCCACAGCGGGGGAATAGTATGAACTGGCGGAGGAATAGTGTGAGTTGGCGGGGAAATGGTATGCGCTGGACTACGCGTTGTTTCTTCTCCAGTAACAACAGGCTACAAAAGTTTCAAAAGAAATATACAACTTCCAATCCACTACCCTATGCAGAATGAACAAACGAGAGCAAGCAGGTTTTACTGTCAACAGCGTGATTATACACATCAATCCAATTTTGAACAGCAGATGCCTAAATAAATTTCCTCTATCCAATCATACGCTTTCTAAGAGGGCAATGTTCCGCGGCAAATCGGCCATCTCGACGTCACAGGTACAGTTACAAGTTAAGTTCTCTGTGGTAGAGCAACTCTACTGTCTTTGGACTGCAATAACTTCGTACACATTTTCTACTATCTGTTCTTCTTTTTTCGTAACCAAGATTACTGCTGACATTACAGCCTTGTTTATATTCTTTCACCGTAGAAAATGCTTGTCTTAGTGACTGCACTGCAGTAGCAAGTAGTCACATCACATCACATAATGCTAATATGTGAACAGCTCAGCAGCCTAAGGTTCTCTGCTGACGTAGTGCTACTTGCGGAAAACACAGGTCAGCTGTAAGACATGCTTTATGAGCAGCTCGAAAGAAAAAATGCAAAAGTTGAACTGAGAATCAACCGGTTAAAGACGAGGATATGACGATCGGATGCTGTACCGAAGGCTCAGGTAATAATAAACGGCAAAAACTTCGAATACGTCGATGAATACATTTATCTGGACTTAGAAATCAACATGTGGCATGATCAGCTTGGAGAGACTCAACGGAGAAACAGGGCCGGTTGGTGCTCGTACCATTCAACGGAGAATGTTCTCCTTAGCAACTGTAGGAAAAGTAACCCGTAACCAAATTCTTCAATTTTATCGTACTACCGGCGATGCTGTATGTCTGTGAGACGCGGACACTCACTAGAGCTTTAGAGCGCCGGCCATCTGTCAGAGAATGCTATGAAAAATACATGTTGAGAATCTCACTTCACACTCCAGCAGTGATCAAACAGCGGACGGGAGTGATGGACGTCGTCATCGAAAGCAGAACGGAGAAGATACGGTGGGCAAGGCACGTAGCTTGGCTCACTAACGGGAGATGGTTGGCGATGATCGCCGAGCGCTTTCCTCACGGGCGGACTAAGCCGATTGGTGGCCCATCATAACGGTGGGAAGATTATATATGAAACCAGAAAAGCGGCGCTTGGAGGAAGAAATCTCAAAATCAAGAAAAATAGCGGGTGTATAGAAGCCAGCGTGATTTATCGCGAATTAAGATGATCCTGCTAAGATCTGAACTAAACGCTATCCTGCACAATTCAAGATGCTCGACGTACTGAGAATTTCATGCAACGAGACTGTTGAACTATGCGGAAAAGAATAAACATAAAGTCACTCATACCTATTTTCAGTAACTGAGCGAGTGAATATCTATTTGTTAAGGCAAGGTTACGAATAACGCAAAAAAGCCGGACTGCGATTCAATGCAAGACCAGGCTTATCGTATTCTGACAGCATTAGGCAGTTTAGCTACAGAATAACTCACTTCAGAATAAGTCATCAGACAAGGTCTTCGTCCTGCACAACGAACATAGCGCCGTCGACGCCACACTGGCAAAACATTAGGTAGCACGAAAAAGAAGAATAGAAAAACACGTTACACTCAAGAACCATAGGTTTTCTACTTAGCTCAAAAATTTACACAGCAAATTTAGTGTGCCAGACAAACAAAATCAGAGGTATGGAAAAACAGTAAAGCAGCTATGAATGACTGTCCACTCGCAAGCAAATGACCAGTTTCTGAGTTTTGCTGACCAAGTGCTCGAACCACAGTCTTGTTTCATTTTCCACTGGTTTGCAGAAACGCGTCATGATCAATGTACAAAAGAGAGAAAGTTGCAGTTGGCGAAAGTTCTTCATTTCATATATCATATTTTAACGAAATGATTGATTAGGCAGAAGCTGATCAAAGTCTGACGCTCTACCGCTAGTATATCAATCTTTAATGAACCGATAAATTAAAGCTGTGTAACCTTAGCCTTAGGAAGGACTGACTGTTTTGGCATCCGTCCCTTGTTAGGTGGGACAGTGCACAATGCATGACATATCATAGGCTGCAGCACATAAAATCTCGATAATCAGACGAAACTGCAAAAGAATGATGCCTTCCATGACAAAAGTAAAGCAAAGTGAAACAAAGAAGAGGTACGCGGGCGACTGATAATGTCATTATTACCGTTAAGGAAATGCACATATTTTTCGTATTTTTCTGCATGATTTGCATACTTACATAATTTTCGAATCTCGCTGATATCCTTCAGTTCTCAAACAGATGCATGAAGATCAATAGCTCAGAAGAACAATTACAACCAAGCTGAAGGCTTGGTCTGGCCAAACAAAATTGGAGAATTGAAAAATAGAGTAAAAGAAAAAGTTTAAAAAAACTCTTGTACGCTAATCACTCACTGGCTGCAAAAAT